ATCCGTCAAACAGAGAATAGGACGGCAAAGACTGTTACGGTACGGCCATGTAAGACGAATGTCTACCGAGCGATGGCCTAACTGAGTCTTAGATTGGCAACCACCGGGAAGTCGGAGGCGAGGACGACCCAGGAAAATATGGATGCATGGAGTGGAAGAGGAGATTGCTTGCCGGGATCTTCAGAATGGAAATTGGCTTGACAGCCACCTCTGGAACTCAGCCCTGACGTGAAAGGCAACCCTCGTTGGAACGCCTATATAATAATATTTTTTTATTTATAAGGTTTAGTTATTGTGGGTTTATATTTTTAAAGACTGTGGATTTTAAATGTAAATCAATTCCCTATCGATTTATTTAAATATTTCGCATTTCTTCGGCATCAAAGTCCATTATTATTATGATAATGGGGCTTTAGTCGGGGGGAAAATGATATTATCGAGCATATAAAGAAAATTTGTAAAACGATCTAATCATTTTAGATTTAAAATAGTTCAATTTCATTCGAATTAAAATAATAATAGATATCATTGATTGTAATTTAATTTAGTATATTGGTTGCCGGATGAACTGATATGTGATATTATTTTTGTCATGGGAATATTTAAGAGATAGGATATAGTTAAGAATAGCAGAGGCTTCAATTTCTTTGTACATGTCCAAAATTAAAGGGAAAAGTCTAGTAGGGACAATTTTATTTGTCACGTTCTTTTATGTGGCTCTTTTTTTAGTGTCGTAATGCCCCCCCCCCTCAAAAATTCAAAACCTTGTCAAAAATTTTAATGGCGCTATTTGCATGAACCTCCCTCGTGGGCACCTCTGTTAGGGTCTGCTAATGCTAGAACTGACTATTCGCTTACGAAGCACAACTGAGTGTAGAACTGAATCAACCAATTGAATATATGGTCCTCTTAGCCCCAATATTTCCTTCAATTTCTTAAAATAAATTTTAGTAAATCTGTCACTATTCTTCCTCAAAATTATTAGAACCCAAGACAAAACATAAATTTAATATTTTAAATTCAAATTTAATACAAACTAAAATATTGCGACGGAGTAATGAAGAACATTAAATTCTGGATGATATGATCGGATTATAATTCTTGTTCTTATTAGAAAATTTACCTACAAATTGATACTTTACAATCTGTCAATATATCTTAAATCCCACAGTTGAGCAATGTAGTAGAGGAACACTTGGTTTCTTTATGTATATACAATCTGGGATTGGATTTATTGCAATTGTGATAACAATATTTTTTATAACAAAGCTGCCTTAATTTTCGATTCAAAATATTTCATGTCTTTATGAAATAAACCTGATTCCGAAAATGGTACTGCTAAATGAATGAGTTTGAGATACTATATGAGATAAGTTATTTATTTATTTATTAAATTGATTGATAGATTTATTTGAATAGTAACTATACAATCTGCCACTATTAAGGGCATTTGTTATTATGGTTATATGCTTACATACATTCTTTATATACAAATTAAAATACAAGCTAAGATGAAAAGAAAACAACAATAAAACATAAGTAAAAATATTTACATTAAAATAAATAAAAAAATACTTGTAAAAAGAAAAAAAAAACACTGTAAATATTTTGAAAAAATAAATAAATAAAGGAGAAAAAAAATTACTAGTCATATAGTCATTTCTATATACAATATAAGAGATACTCTCATAAAACAATGGCACTTCTAATTACATTCCTCCTTGTGAAAATATTTTTTTTTATATATTGAGTAGTAACCTTTTTTTAACCAGTACTCATTTAAATTATATACCATTGTAAACAGTGACGACTGTAGGCTATGATTATTTATATCTATCTATATAGAAACAACGGGATGTCACATAAACTGTTTATCTTTTTGCGTCTAGCTTTCTGACTTCTAATATTAATAATAAAATAATAATACTAATAATATAACTGTATAAGGCCAATTAATTTATTTTTCTGACAAAATACCAACTCAGCTTAATTTCGTTAAAGACTCAATGCCAGAATTGTTTTTATTATTGAATCATTTTCCATTCCTATGTGTCCTATACTTAACAATAACTAAACAAAAAAAAAAAGTAAATAAAAAGAGAAGAGTTCAAGGCAATTGAAGAGATCTATTTCAAAGATAAGTTATTTACCTTAGCAATTGGAGTTTGCCTCAGGGGCCCGTGTTATAGATAACGTGAATCACATCTTGAACCCTCAGAATAAACATTACTAATCTTTATAAGTGTAAGTGTGACAATTGGGTTCGAAAAACTACTATAATTATCCATATTGATGAAAACGTCTCCAAGTTCAATAAAATAATTACATATGTAAACATGTAATGTATGTAAACATACATTATATGTAATAAATGATGATTTTGTTGATCAATTGATTTAGGTGCTCATTGATGTTTTTGGATATCATTCAGTAACCAATTTTTAAGATCGATTTCATTTTTAAAACAATAATTTCTTAAATTAGTCACCATTGAGAACTTTCGATGTTGTTAACAAACTGTCTTAATGAGGACGTCAAACTTTTGAGAAGATAAAATACCTGAAAAACACGAATTTTATAACCAAATTTTTTTTTAGGCATGTTATATATATATTTATTTTTTCCTCTCTTTTTATGCTAATCATATATAACATCATTATTATAGCACGCTAAACCATCACTATTACACAACATATATTTCAGTAAGACTAATATAAAATAAACTCAGATATTTAAAAAAATAAAATAATAAGTTCAAAAGCTAAAATTACAAGATTAAAACGCACACATACCAACTAACATAATTTTATAAATTTAAATAAAAATATATGACTAGACTAAATATTAAAATTGAATAAATAAATATATTATAATAAATGTCCTCTATTAATTTTTAATTACTATATGATTGATAATGGATGATTACTAGGGACACCAGAATAATCTTCTTGGCCAACATCAAAACGTAGTTTCTCGAGTTTGTATTTGTATTAATACTTGTTCTTTTAATAATCGTTCCGCGAGACCCAAACCAGAGGCTTCTCACGGTGAATTATCGCGGAATTTCTCTTTTAGGAAAGGGACATTTATCATATACATGCTTCTTTTCTCCTCCCATTTCAACCGACAATTCAATAAGTATCATTTATTCTCATTGAAATGATTATCTTGATTTGATATGTTAATATGTTCAGACTACTTAAGTTTTGTAGCCACGTCTCTGGAATGTGTAGATTTTTTGTTTAATTAACTTTTTTTTATCAACATATGTTTCCTTCTGTAAGAATTACAATTTTGAAGAAGAAAAAACATGACTTGTAAACGGTTATGTTTATTTTTCGGCTCATAGGAACAAACGGCGAGACACTATTTTTGAATGAAGAACAATAAAAATAAATTTCGCATAAAATCGATGACCCGCTGACTTTGATCTCCACTTCTTACAGATCGATGGGAATGAATATTCGACAATCAGTCAAGCTCCCATTTCATGAAACGAAAATGGATAATGGGGATAGTTACTTAAAAGCGGCAATCATGGAAAACCTTTCTACAAACTGTCAATTCTTGAACACTAGCCAATTTTGTTTTGAATAAAATTACCATAAAAGACAAACATAAAAAGAATAGGTTGAATCGTTACATTGATATTTGAAGGTAAATATGTAACTATCCCGAAGCAATAGGGAAACGGTTTCACTACACGTCATAAAGTATAAATATATATTGAACGTTGAGCCAACGGTTATACTGAGAATTACGACTTCTCAGTCACTCCCAAGTGGGCTGTCTTAGCAATTAAGCAAGACAAAAGTCAAAACGGAAATTTTTATGAAAAATGACGAAATATTTACTAAATAACTCATTATTATGAATTAAATAAAACTTCATTGAATACACATTTCATATATTATATTTTTATTGAGGCTAATCTTTAAAATTATGTTTTATTATATCTTTAATTTCGTCAAACAAGTTTAAAAAAAAATTGTAGTAAAACTATTTTTTTTTTTATTGAAATTTACAACTGTATTAAATGATAAATACAACAAGTAAATATGAAACAAGTAACATGACATGTACAACATGAAGAGAAACTACTCACTGGTAGCACTCCAATTATATTTCTATATTAGAAGGTCCCGAGGCCATCTTCTTTTCAGACGCCTCAGAGTGTTATCAGGAATAGAAGATGAAGCAAGGTTGGAAACAAGAGGGTTCGGATGGTTCAGAAGTTTATTAGGGATGGGTAGGTATCTGGATTGGGCTAAATCGGAAACCTATGGTACATTAAGGTCGTTATGGATGATTTTATTTGTGACAAAGTAAGGAGCATTGAGGATTTTGCGAAGGATTTTGGATTGTAGGGATTGGATAGTTTAGTTGGATAGTTTTAGAGGAATTTGATGGTTTAGTAGAGCCCCCAAAGCTCGATTCCGTAAGTCCAAATAGGCCTTATTATAGTAATATATATGAGTCTTTTGTAAATAGTTGGAAGTTTAGAACGTTTGTCTGGTAAGTGCTGCAGTAGTCGAAAACGTCGGGCGGTTTCTAGTCGTTTCAGTCTGGTATGGGGTAGTAAAACGTTAAAATCTTTTTAGTAAATCATTTGAAATTCTTAAAAAAATATATAAACTACTAGGCAAAATGTTACATAATTTAATGTGTGATGACACTTTCCATAAACCTAAATCACAACCACTATTCTTTCATTGCTTTTAAATTTTGAATTTATTAAGCACTGATATATTTAGATCAGGCCTGGCCAACAAGTATTTTAATTATTATTTTCAAATACAGTATCTAAAATACCAAGTGTTTTGTTTTTTTAAAATACGATGAATTTTAATTATCCTGTTTAAGTAATTGTCTTGAGTTACCCAGATTTTGCTGCTATATAATGATGTAAAAAATGAGATAATAAGAATAGAGCTCCTGATACCCTCACTCAATGTAAATATGGAATACCGACAACTTCGATGGTATGGACACATTGTAGAATGGGAGAAGATAGAGTACCAAAGAATGTTTGGAAGCTCCTGCCAACTGGCAGGAGACCACGAGACAGGCCTAGAAGAACATATCTGGAACATATCCAACGACTAGGTGAGGAAGGAGGGAAAAACCTAGGTCAGTTGAAGGAATTGGCGGGGTACAGAGATGTATGACCGAAGAGGCTGGAGGCTCCTCCACGTTTAAAGGCACTCAAGGAGTAGGAGGAAGAAGAAGGAGAATTTTAATTATAAAGTATTTAAATTATTTCCAGAAAAGGTATTTCGAATACGAAATAATAAAAGTATTTTAAAAGAATGAGATGGTCCAGGGTGGTGGTCATAAATAGGCTGAATTGTGACAAAACTATTTTATTAAAAGGCAACGTTTCGACCCGACTTTGCAGGTTTTCTTCAAGGCTAGAACGGACAAGATACAAAAAGATACAGAATTGTGGAAGTTACATAATATTATGAAAAAAAATTATAAACATTGTGAATAACCTTATTAAAATTATAAACAGTAAGTACATTAAACATTGAAGTACATTGAAATGTTGGCTTTTAATAGAATAGTTTTGCCACTATTCAGCCTATTTATGACCGCCACCCCGAACCATCTCCTTCCTGTTTAATGCAACGGTCAACTATTAAATATTCAATAAAAGTATTTTCTATTTTAATTACAAAATGTTTTAATACTACTCTATTTGATCATTTATTTTGTCCATTTAAAATCCAAAATATACAACACCAGTGACTTGGCTGGGAGGGAAGCACTGGGATCTCCTGGAATTCTGCTTTGGCTTCCACATTTGGAGGACTTGATTCAGAGTCCCCTGGGCCAATATAAATATTGTAAATAGATGTGAATGTGTTTTATTTATTTTATTATCATTTGTATTCGTAACAGATTAAAGAATCTGTTATATTATTAATCTTGTATATTACTTTATATTTTTTTTATCTATATTTATTTATTTTTTTCCCACTTTGGTTATTTATATTTATTTTCCTTTCTTATTGTACATATTGTGTGAATAGATCATATAGCCAACCAATGCCCTTCAGTGCGGCAGACTGTATTAATACTCAATAAAACCACTAAAAAAAAAAAAAATTCAAAATAAAATAGGAAAGGAAAGGTATCCAAATGTCGACTAATATCTGTTCTTGAAACTTTCTAAAGTTTTCTAGGCATTGTATAAATTTATCAAAACTGATTTTAGAAAATTTGCATTCATTATTGTTGTATTTTTACTCTTCAATAAAAACCATGATTCTTGTCGCCAATTTTTTTTTTAAATGAACATTTTTATTAAAAACAGGCTCTGAAAGTATAAAATACGGCTCAAGTCAATACTTTCTGGCTCAAGTCTCCCCAAAATGGATCTCTAAGAGTATTATTGTTCGTCTAATTAAATTTAATAGGACTTTAAGAATCACTTAAACACCATTTCAAATCGGTAATTTCTTTCTTCCGAAGTAATTATCCAAATATATACATTTAAAAAAAAATCTTTCGGGCTAAAGTTCCCCCCCCCAAATTAAATCTTGGATCCGTTAGTGCACAGAAGTATATTTAGCAATATTTCTGGTAATACATATTAATATTGAACATGTCCACAAAGTAGACTAATTCAGAATGTTTTATCTATTTTAAATTATTTATTCCACAATATGTTAATTATTTTATTTTTTCGACAAAGACCCATGTTAGATTTTTATCCATTTACATACGAAATTTTAAAGCGTTTATATACTTATGCTCAATATTTGTTATCTTTTATTACTATGCTAATTTAATTATGTGTTAAGACAATTATAGTTTTTTCGTTTGTGTATACTTTAATATTTAAATTTTTAATGTGATTTATGTTAAGCTTACCTTATCATTATAATGCATATGTTTATATTATAACCTTATAGACGTATATGTTTAGTTAGTTTCTTTCTCTAATTTGATGTTTAAAAAAAAAAACTGAAATTATTGTAATTTTCAACCCCTCCATAATTTCTTTTGTTTTAAAACTTTTTTAGGCACGTCATTATATTTAAATGCGTTATTGCCTCATTATTAATTAATTAATTATTAAGTTTAGAATATTTAGACCAGTTACTGAATTTTTCATATAATTTTTTTACTGTATATTTAGCTGCATATTTTATGGAATATTTTGTGTTTTTTTACTGCATAAAAATCCGGGCCTTGGTTACAACATTTTGAAATCGCACATACAATTCCGTTTTTTCTCAGTTTTAAGAGAATACGTATTTTTTTTTTTTATCTCAGGGAAATGGCGAAACATTCATTATATTGACATTAATATTGTAAATCTCTTACCTTTTGAAATGAAATCCATACTTGTTGTAATTAAATTACCGAACTGGATCTGCTCAAGATTCACACACTGCAACTGAACGTTTGCTGACTTGAATGGACTGGACATGGGGTGGTTAGGGGCGTGGAGTCAGCGATTTAAATGAAACTTTGTCTCGTATAACTAAGTCAAAAAATGTCAGATCTTGCCTACGCCCTCTAGGAGCCGAGGATAAAATATTTTATAATTAAAGTCTGATTGAATCTATCTAAGTTAATATACCTGGATCTGATGGAGTTTTGTGTTATAGAATATAAAAATCATTCAGTGAGAGTCATTTCGTGTGAGATGAGATTAATATTAAACAGCACTAGTGGTAAATTTTAGATGCGATGGGATGGTACACCCCTTTAGTCCAAAATTATCAAGATAGGTTTGCTCCTCGTCTATTCTTCAACATCTCCTTTGAACGATTATCGGTACATTTTCCCACATATTGTTCTTCTTTTTTTTATAAAAAATTTATGTATGCCATAATAATTTTCAAAGAAATTCCTGTAAGCCTGTATGAATTATAGCTCAACCATTGCACATTATAAATTTGCGGAATCTTGTAAAATTATTTAAACAATATCAGTTCAGTTTCCGTATTAAACAATACGTATAGATTCGTGTGGGTAGATGATTAAATTTTTCTTGGAAACGGCTAACTAGATACTCAATTATGCAACATCAGTTACAGACTGGTATGAGATAAATATCAAAAGGTCCAAGGATTCAACTTTTGCCTATGATACATAAGATCACGATTATTTTTTATGTTTTTTTTTTTCCTGATTAGCTCGTAATATCTTTATCTATAACGGAGGCCGGTCCAACTGAATAAATAAACAAAATCGAACAATGAAATGATAAAATAACTAAAAAATGTAATCTTAGATATCATAATTTAGCGATAAGGTTACTATTTAACTCGTCTTAATGGTTATTGGCAATCAGTCTTGACTGAAGCTCCCACCATGTCTTCAGCTACTGTCGATAGGTGAGATAGGGTCTTAGTTAATTATTACATTATGGTTTATAAAACGGTTAACAGGTTAGTGTGTGTAATACAATTGAGAATCAGTTTGCTCTATAAACTATATTTTAAATATTTCTTGTAAATATACTACTGATACTGGTACTTGCGGTACGGACGGGGGGGGGGGGAGGGGCTTAGACCTGCAAGAAAGTCACGTGGTCCTTTATGCCAACCCTTGACGGCTACCTTGAGGTAGTTGCCGCGTATTTACCAGAACGGGAATGTCAAGATTCATTTTCTCGGACCGCCGAGAAATGAAAATTAACCGACCCAGATGGGAATCGAACTCCACAACTTACAGAACCGGTCACTTTGGGACCTAGGCTTATAGGTTCTCTCTTATAGGTTTCTTCTAATTTATAATAAATCTAATTATATGATGTGTTACAAGCCTACAAATATTTTTTCATCCATGGCTACTCCTCATAATAAAAAATATAATCAATCAGATCCCACGCTACAGCATAAAATAAACTCAATAAAGAGTATAAGAGAGGGTTTAAAATTTTATAGAACTTTTTGAAAAGTATTTTATTTGAGTCGTCTGGAGTATACTTCATGGTAGCCATTTTTTAAATTGACACTTTGGCAATATGAATTTCTTTAACTGCTCTGGTGTATCATATATCACACAGCAAATGTATTATTTAATCTTATAGCTTATGTATTTCTTAATATTAACTTAATTTATTATCATTTATTTATTTATGACCGTTATCAGTTTTTAATTTATATAATGTATATATCTTGATAAAATTAAATTTATTTAAATTAATAATATTTTTTTTAGAATCGTCTAAATAAAAAAGAAATAAAGATTACATATATTGAAATTTTATTAGCTTATCGGTAAGGGTTGTAATGTAGTAATTGTATTTTTCATTTTTATTATTGCCTTTGGTTGCTAAATTAATTATCAAATGTAATTCAACATTGGCAAATGGGCATGGATTAGCTAAAATATAAAAATATAAATTGTGCGTTTGGAGCACATAATTTACATAATCAGTAAATAATAAGGAAGGATTGAAAATTTGATGGAATTTCCTTTAAAAGTCTTTTATTTGAGTCGCCAAGAATATACTGCATATTCCTGTGCCCGCATTGTTTAATTACTATACCTTTTTTTATATAAATTTTTCAAATTGCAATTAAAAGATTAAAATTTATTATCACTATTACACAGATATCGTTTTAATTGTATATTGTAATATCTGATATCATAGCATGTATTTTTTATTTTTTTATTTTTACAAAACATGTTAGGTATTTGGATAATCAGTGCCTTATTATTAAGTGTTAGGATGAATTGAGCCAACTGGTGATAGTGTCATCCTTTCAATAAAAAATAAAAAATGTAATATAAATAGTGTTTTTTATGACTAAATATGAACACTGTAAGATTAATCTAATAAAGAGATTCCAAGGTAAACATTTTTAAAATAATAATATTAATTTTAATAAAACAATAATTATAATAAGTGACATATAAAAAAAGTAATTTAACGTGAATCCATCCATTTCCTTGTTTTGTGTATAAGGAGAATTACATGTTTTTAGCCTCCATGAAACACTAAACAAGAAACCGTTCAATTTTTAAGAGATATCTGGTATTCGGTTTATTTGTATATTGGTTTATTTATGTATTCGGTTTAATTACTGCTAACATGATAACCCCTTATGAGGTTTATATGATTTATAGATCATTACAACTTATTATGAAACACGATTTAGTGAATATATCCAGGTAGATGATAAGATATAGAAACGTTGTTGTATTGAGATTATATTTTTATGACATAATACACAGTTAAAACATAAAAATATAATCGATTATAATATTGTTTTAATCGATTATTTTTTTAAATGACAAGGAACTTTCTTTAAAAATTATAATCAATTAACTTTACTTTTTTTTCTTTTCACGACTTGAAACAGATTTTTATATACACGAATCTTATAAAACATAGTTTACAAATACAATTAATTCATTATTAAGTTAATTAAATTATCTGAAATCAACTGATCATTAATTGAAAATTCCGTGCGATGGAAACGATGAAATGGTCATGGAATTGCGGGTTTTCAGTAAAGCGATTTTAGTACAGGTCCCAAGCCAGCTTCTCGTGGCGAACTCAACTTATTTTATAAAACCCAATAATTTCATCGTATTTTCATTTATTCACAGTCCCAACTTTCATTTCATAGCTTTGCCCAAACTGGTCTTGACTTCAACTAGCTCTTCTTAACTACTCCAGATTATTACTCCGCCAATCATTTACATCATCCAGTTCGAAATATGTATATACATTACCCTTTTCTCTCGATTCACTGAACAGATATTTAGAAAACAAGACGGTCTCCATACCTACACCATATATCTCATTTTCTATATCGAATGAATTTGAACTCCCTTTTCCATAAAAAACTTACCATACGTCTTAAATACATCTTGTGGTGTACACGATGAAAAGCACGCCACAAGACGTATTACCTTCAGGAATTTGCTTGTTGATTTATATAGAAAAATTATTATGAATTATTCAACCGATTAATTTAAAGTAAAAAAAAAAAAAAAATTTTAAATTAGTGATCATATTCTTGAATTTCACAAGTATGCTTCCATATGTTATCACTTGTTGACTTGTTTCATCTGAAGTCACACTGATAATCTCCGGCTTCCTCTCAGCATTTAGTATTAATCAGATACATAAATCTACTAAAAAGATTATAAATCACATGATGCGGGCGATTTTATGTTCTTAAGGTTTATTACTAATGTATTTACTATATTGAGTTTTGAATGGTGTGATATAGTTATTTTTAAAATATTCATTCAACAATCATAACCAAACACTAGGGATATATAACCATTCTGAAACGAGATTGTTTTCACAACAGCAGAAATCTGATCAAAGGAGTTAAGGCCAATTTAGTGTGGTCACTTTTTTTTATTTAATAATAAGGAACTGCTCAAAATCCGTTCAAGATAATAAAATTCTAAGTATATCATCGTAAAGTAGAGACAATTTGTTTGAAGAAATAGTAATTAAATTTACTAAGGTCAATGATAAAAGTGACTTTCATGACGTCTAATTCGGCCCCGCTGTATAGAGATATGCTGCTCGTGTATGAATATTGTGACTTCAGTAGTACATCGTCCGTATTAGACTTCCTGAAAGTCCCTTTTATCATTAACTTGAGTTAATTTTATCTCTGCTTTCTTTAACAAATGTTGTCTATTTTACGATGGTGAGCTTAGAACTTTATTATCTTAAGCAGTTTTTGAGAAATTCCTTCTTATTAAAAAAAAAAAAACGTAACCAGACAAAATTGGTCTTAACTCCTTTTCCGTTCGGAATTTGCCCATGCATCAAATGATTTTTTTTTTGTTGGAAATTTTGCAGTTTGGCCAAGGGACTTCTCCCCAAAATAATGATCTCTTTTACTCCATGTAAATATTTGTCTCCGCGGTATCAGGGTTGTTGATGCAGAATAATTTATTTTCCTTCTGCTAATAAAAACCCTACTAATATATTATGTTATACATTTGCTAAATATTACTAGCATTTATTTGAATTTAAATCGTAATTTTCGTTGAGAATATGGTATGAAAATTTCAGAATAAAAAAAAAAAAGTTAATGAACAAAACCACCATCATCTGCGAGATCCATGTTATCTCCTAATGATAGTTGATATAAAAGTTTTGAAACATAAGTTTTGTAACAGCAAAATACATAAAACAATATTTTTATATATATATATATATATATATTTGAAAATTGCAATGAGATTTGAAACGGTACGTTGTGCAGGTACCTCGGCCTTGCAGTTCATCAGCAGGCAAGGTCCGTTCCACTAGCAGCAGTGGTTTCTCCTCATCGTCCAATCACAATCAAAAACCTGCCATTCAAGGTAAGTCGACTTATTTCTCTTTTGTGCCCTGAATTACCTTAAAATAGTTGTATTTTTGAGTTAATAATATCATCACAACCATGTTAATCTAGTGTGTGATTATTCATTTTTTTATGTTATCGTAATTCATAAAGCGCAATTTTAAATATAATTAATATAAAATGAATAATTGCAATCTGAAGCCTATGGAAACATCACTTTATTATTCAAATGATTTTGATTGTGTTGTAGTTGCGGAGATATGTTGAAGAAGCAATCAAGCAATGCAACCCCTCTGAGATACATCTCTGCGATGGATCCGAGCGTGAAAGCAAGATGTTCATTGAAAAGATGTTATTTGATGGAACGATAGTGCCTTTACCCAAATATCGAAATTGGTAAAATACAATTCTTTCTTTATATTTTACAATTGTTTGCAACTGATATCCTATTCAGCTCGTAAAAAAAGTGAAAAATAGTTCAGAACTACGAGTTTTAAACGTTGTAATATAGTCAATTTAAAATATCGTTTTATCATTCATATATATATATATTTTTTTTTTTTATTAGACATATAATATTCTATCACAGAGACAATAATTATATTGATAAATGAACACATTCACACCGTATATACAAAAAAGAAATAAAATTAACAAAAGTAAAATAATAATAAATAAAAACTATATACAATAAAAAAAAAATAAAATAACCTAAATATAAGTAAACTAAAAACATAAAAATACAGTCATACCTATATACATCACTCATAATCAAACACGAGATATATCAACCCCTTAACCATCCTGGCATGGTATTGTTACATCCCAACAGCAAAAATCTTTCGTATTTTAAGGACTATTATTGAATCTTAAAATATGTAAAATTGCTTCCTTATTCATTTTGGAAACTATTAATTCATCAAGTTTAGTTCGGAGTACATTCTCTCAACGTTTCAACTTTATCATCGATCATATAAATATACGTTTCGTAACGCGTCATTAGTTCATCAGATCTAGCTTTTTCAAAAATTAATACGTTAGAATACCTTCACTTCAAGAACGATACATTTTAAGTATAGTTTCTAATATTTTCAAATTAACAATTCAGTTTTCACAATCCCTTCCGCCAGCACTGACGTATAATGATATACATTTAAGAGAATAAAAGAATAGATGGAAACTTTTTTTTGCCTATCAGAGAATATACGTATAGTTTTTATATTTTGTTAAAAAATTATTAAATGCATGATTTATGAATGAATAATTAAAATACGGTTATCGAAGTATTATTATGACCAACAATCCAGATAACGAATGTAATTACATTGTTTTATAGTATAACTTGTATAAATGCATATAATACATTAAATTGATTCTGTTTCAGTTTCCTGGCACGTACAGATCCAAAAGATGTAGCAAGAGTAGAATCAAAAACGTTCATTTGTACAAATAATAAGAGAGATACCATCCCCGAACCAGCTGAAGGAGTAATTGGCAAGCTGGGCAACTGGATTTCGCCAGATGGCATGGATGAGGCAGTGAGGAAAAGATTCACAGGTTGTATGAAGGGAAGAACCATGTACATTGTGCCTTTCTCTATGGGACCTCTTGGTAGTCCTTTAGCAAAGTTCGGATTGCAACTCACAGATTCTACTTACGTTGCCGCATCAATGAGGATAATGACCAGGATGGGAGAAGAGGTGATAAAAAATAATATATCCTTAGCTAAAAATTAATATAACTATAAATAAAATTCTATTCAAAACTTTCAATACCATACGATGGTGTAACTTTGGGGCTGGGTTGGTGACTTTGGGACAGCGGGTAAAATTTAGTTTGTGTAGGTTCTACAAAAACGTGCTTTGTGTAAGCATGCAAACTTGCGGCACACTACGCTTGAGGCACAAGCGAAAGTTTCATGAAAACAAGAATTTTGAAAAAAGCAATGGAAATTAATAAAACCTAACTGCACAAAGAGCGTAGTGAACTATAGTTCTTAAACTGCCGCAAGGTAGTAGCGATTACATGCCTACACAAAGAATGTTTATGCAGGCTGAACCAACACAGTGTATCCGCCACCATCCGCTTCTTAACGTTACCCCCATCTTACGATATACAGTTTGTTTAGATTATTTTCTTTTAACGCAATATAAATAATTTTAGTTTAATAAAAGTAAAGCTTTTTATAAGTAGAATAGCATTCAAACCAGCTTACATCGATATAGTAAATAATTTATGTAATAAAACTAATTTATACTTCATATCTTATACTCTAAATTTTATGCTTCCTTTTTACTAATTTAACCATCAATTAAAACATCAATAAATAAAATAATTACTAATTCAAAATAATTGATGATTAATTGAAATCAAGAAAAGCCTTTCCAAAGAATTGTAATTCATTTTTTTTTTAGTGCTAATTCTATCAACAGTTACCATATCATTTTTTAATGTGTCTATTTCATCCTAGGTTCTTAGGCATATGAATGAAGATAATGAAGAAGAGATTGTTTTAGCGAAACATTCAGTTGGAGCCCCAATAGATCCCATGCACCGCAACCACAACCCCTGGCCTTGCAATCCTGAGCAGACAATAATACTTCACAGGTTATTATTTATATTATTGTTGTAAAACTATACGTCCACTTGAGAGTATATCAATCTCAAGAGCTGAACTCATTACTGGGAGATTACAGGCGAGAAATGGGTTTCCCACTCAAGGTGAGCAAAGTGGACTATGTCAATAGCCGATGAGTAATAACACTCGACAGTGTTTCAAAGTGTAACAGCACTCTTGACTTCCTCCTTGCATTTTTATTATTTTATCTTCCAAAGCTTTGATTTTAATTTTGACAAGTTTTCATTTTTTTTTTCAACAAAATTTGAGTTTCAAATTTGAAACGTTGGCGATACACATTGTAATTTTTAATAACCCAAGTAACAAGAAACCGATTATAGATTTGCGATAGTCAATCCGTTGTGAGGAATCAATTTTTGAGGAAAGCATATTTAAAGGGGTTTTGAATTTTTGAGGGGGCACATTTCAAGGAGGTTATGAATTTTCTGGAATTGTTATTAAGTAAAACTATTTCATTCCACTGTCTATCGTGCTGACGATTTCTTAATACAATTTTATGAAAGGATTTCCAACACATCCATCTTGGAAACATCATCTAAATTTCGGTTAGGCTCTCCAATGTGTGGTGATGGCTAAATATGAATATGAGAGAATGCACCGAGAGCCAGATATTGCATCGGAGGTTTTTAGATTTATTCTCAAGTGGATGCATTCATAACGAATATTAGAAAATGTCTTAATTAAAGCAATAGAGGAATGGGAAACGGAATCTAACATTGATTTTTCAATTTTTAAATATGACTGTTCTAGGCCAGAAAAAAATGAAATTGTCAGCTATGGTAGCGGATATGGTGGAAATTCGCTGCTTGGAAAGAAATGTTTCGCTCTCCGGATTGGATCAACTATAGCGAAACGTGAAGGATGGCTAGCTGAACACATGTTGGTGAGTTAACACATAAATATATCATAAAACTTATTCTAAACATCTTTTCTTACATTATTTTAACCATATTCGATATTAGATTTTAGGTATTACTCCACCAAATGGTAAAAAGAAATACATTTGTGCAGCTTTTCCATCAGCTTGTGGTGAGTATCCTATATTATATGATGCGTTATTTTATTTGTTAACAAATATATATATACTGGCTAAATTTCGAAGATATTAATTGGTATAACTTTCGTACTATAATACTATAATATATTCGAGATTCTGCTCTTTTCTCCATAAATTAACAATTTTTTCAATAGTAATGATTAATTTAAAATTATATGCATCAATATATATATTTTAATATCTGCTTCGTCATTTAAGTATATCATTTGAGAATCTGGCTGCCACAGGTACATTTGAACACTTAAGACAAATAAACTTACATGTTTCTGAATAACTGTTTAATAAATATTTAGTCCGGAATTACTTATTAATAGCTAAAGCCTTATATTTAACAGCTTCCACCATTTTGTGATTTATCGGTGTCTTATTATTATATAATTTATTTCTGTTATCACACCAGCAAATTTTTAAATGATTGAATGAAATTAATATATATATTTTTTTATAAATATATATTTTGTATATCATTCTGAATGGCTTACAGGTAAAACCAATTTGGCTATGCTGACACCTACGATTCCTGGATACAAAGTCGAGTGCGTAGGTGATGATATTGCTTGGATCAAGTTCAATCCAAAAACAAAAATGTTCCATGCTATCAACCCAGAAAATGGTTTCTTTGGAGTAGCTCCAGGTATGAAAATATGTAACAGTTGTTTTATAGATTCGACAAACACTGAGCTATTATTTTAAGAATTTTAACTAGAATATAGAGACTTGACATACGGCAATTTAAAAGTATTATGAAGGATATATTGACGATAGTAAAAATATTTACTGACAGCTTACACAGGAAGGCAAAGAACAGATCCAAATTTATTTTTATTTATTTCTCTACATCCATTAAATAGTTACCAAACTAAAAGTTACCGGTACGGGTTAAGCCCAAAAGTTTGTTTTTTATTTCAATAAAAATGCGGATTTTACGAGTTTTCCACATTTAAATATATTTTAATACACTCGGTAATACGCATTTATTATTTAACACCCAAAGAAAACAAATTGACTGGTATATAATTACAGAGGCCCCCAAAAGAGGGTTTGATGCCAAATGTTGCGACATCAAAATTGTTGAGGGAGGCTTATTTTAGCGAATTTTTAAATTTTTGAGAGGAGCACATTGTGGCGGGCTTATGAATTTTCGAAATGAAGTTTCATACTAAGGGACAAGAGGAAAACATGAAACAGACCGCAACAAGTGTAATGGTATATACGATTTTTCTAATTCTAACTTCGCTTACTCTGTTTTTAAGAAAAGTGAGTAATGAAATATCTTGGGAGTGGGGATGTTAGGTTCTTGCGCCATAGACCTTGGGGAGGAGCGGGCACCCTTGTATAATAATCTAGATATCCTTGTAGAGCAAAGCCAAAAAAAATAATACGTAAAAATGAAGCTATATATTTTTTTTTCTTGGCTTCTAAGCCACATTAGTAAGAATTATTATATGGACTTTATATATTATTAAATTATATAGCTTCATTTTTATGTATTATTTTTTGCCTTTACTCTACATGGATACCTCGGCTAACTTACTTAGTGAATCTGAACTACTATATGAATTCAATAATAATTCAGATTTTAGATGTCATTATTATAAATTAAATGTAAAATGAGAGTGAGTAATACGTTCAAGTAGAAAGTAATAAAGACGCATTTGCCCTCTCTTTCGATTTATTCTATAATTCTGCACTACGAACCAATAGATTTTAAAAAATATGTAAGTTATAGTAATTAATAAACATTTAATCAAATATTTCTGTAATAGGAACATCGTGGAAGACGAACCCGATGGCTATGGCAACGATTTTCAGAGATACATTTTTCACAAATGTTGCCCAGACAAGTGATGGTGGAGTATGGTGGGAAGGCATGGAACCATTACCACCGAATGTAAAAGTGACAAGTGACTGGCAAGGGCGATTGTGGGATGGAACAAAACCTGCAGCTCACCCTAATTCAAGGTAATGTTATAAAGTGACTTCCAAGAATATATATAGGTAATCAAATATATATAAGGGTAATCAAAGTTAACCAACGCCGAGCGTGGTTAGCACTTGGATGAACGACCGTCCATCACCAAGGAAAGCCACGCTGGCCGGGATCCTCCATCCCCACCGGGTACGTGAGACCGGTCAGTCTATGCTCTGACAAAGAAACATCTCTATATTTTGCTTTCAATTATTTTTTCTATACCTCTATAATTCATAAAATATCAATGACTAGGTGGTTTTTAAGTGTTTAATATATTATTTGTTGCAGGTTTACAGCTCCTGCTCGAAATCTTCCCATCATAGACCCACAATGGGAATCTCCTGAGGGTGTACCTATTTCAGCAATATTGTTTGGGGGAAGGAGACCTAAAGGAGTGCCACTGATATATCAGAGCTATTCTTGGGAGCATGGAGTACTTGTAGGTGCAATGATGAGGTCAGAGTCAACAGCAGCTGCAGAATATAAAGTAAGTATATTTTTAATTTCTCACTGAATAAATAAGTTTCTTCTTCACTCATATAAGAAATAAACTTTATGGTACTCCAAATCTGTGCAACACCTAAAAATCTGTCTATATTAAACGGCTGTATTTTTGTTGGTTTAAGTTGTGTAGTTTAGTTATTAAATACGACATTTAATGTAGCAATATCCAAGAAAACAATATTGAAAGATTTTCATAAATTCCTACTCCTCTTACTGACACCTATAGTCAAAATAAGAAATTGCTTTTACAACATTGCTTTATACAACTGAATTTATAATGAAACAAAAATGTCTACAATTAACACCAAATAAATTCCTACCTTTTATTTAAGATAATGCAAAACAAAAAAACATCAATCACGTTTGTGCAACAATTTTTGTATTGTTTTTAGAATTTAAATAATATATTTAAAATCCAAATTTTTAATAAAATATACAAAAATGAAATTTAAATAATAATTATGAACGCTTGTAAACTAATAACTTTTAAATTTATTGAATCATTAATGGTCCCATTTTATCCACACATTATAGAGAATATAATTTAATTAATATTAGTTCTTTTATTAACTATAGTTCTTATTACTCGATGAATATTCATTAAATATTTGTTAATGATTTTTTTTTTATATTTTTCAGGAAAAGCAAATAATGCATGACCCTTTTGCAATGCGTCCTTTCTTTGGGTATAACTTTGGTCACTACCTACAGCACTGGTTGGACATGCCTCAAATTCACAAGGGCATTAAACTTCCTAAGATATTCCATGTAAACTGGTTTAGGAAAAATTCAAATGTAAGTTTCATTTCACATCTAATTGAATATTTGAACTTTAATGAGTTTGTATTGGTATAATACACAGAAATATTATTGTAGTCCAAGAGCGGAAGAGAAGAAAAAACAATTATTTTACCCAAATTTTCGAATAAATTAATGTAAACTACTTTTAGTTAAGAGCCAAAACCTTTCACTATAAATCCTTCAGTTTAGAGTTATAAAAGCTCTTTAAACCAGAGGGTAGGGGGGAACTGAACCATAATGCTAAAAACAACTCAAAATTCCAGTTATCCTCTGTTCATTTTTGTCCTATTTGGAACTAGGTTTGGTATTGACACATAAAGAACCATTCTGCCATGTCTGTGATGTACCGAAATATTTTTAGACAAAATCTAAATTCATGTTTAAAAACACAAAATACGAGTAAATTCAAACCTGTTCATTTTTGTCCTATTTGAAACTAAGTTCAGTACTGACACGCAAAAACCCCCTTTGCCATGTCTGAGATGTGCCGACTGATGTGCATACAAAATCCAAAACTCAAAATTAGAGTTGTTTCATATCTCTTCATAAAATAACCTTGAAGGTTTACTACAACTGTTTTGTAGTCTGACAGTAAGTCCATACTGTATTCATCTCTGCTTACAGGGTGAATGGCTTTGGCCAGGATTTGGTGAAAATATTCGCGTCCTCGACTGGATTCTGAGGAGAACAGAATCTGATGATGTTTCTAATGCTGAAGAGACTCCAATTGGTTATGTGCCCAGTAAAGATGCTATTAATCTTCAAGGCTTAATCAACAACAACCTTGAAGAAGCACTCTCAGTACCAAAAGACTTTTGGATAAAAGAGGTATTTTTTTTTTTTTTTACTTTGACTTCTATTTTATTATATGGGCAAAAACTACTTCAATTTTAAATCCTGTTGTTTTGTTTTTTAAATTAATCAATAACTTAAAGAATAAATTTGAATATAACTATAAAATCTATAAATACTGTTCAATTATTTAGAAATTATACTAGCTCGTCTATTTTTCAGATTGAAGAATGTGAAAAATATTTTAAAGAACAAATTCCAAATGATATGCCAGAGAAGCTAAACCAAGAACTTGAAGCATTAAAAAGCAGGGTGCAGAACTCTTAACAGTCCATGCACTAATTTATAAACTTTGCCATAATGAATGTTCCTTTGATGAAAGTTATTTATAATAATTTTCTATATTTTATGTGTGTGAATTGTGTTTTATATTTTTTACAAATCATTACTTTAAAAATTAAAAAAAAAAAGTCCTTAATATTTATATTTATACATTCCACTGTAAAAAGTTATGTAATTATTTAAAATAAACAATATGATACATATTTTTAATTAAAATAATATCAGTCTATCAATGAGTGACTCATGATTATTTACTATAACCAATAGTAAAAGAAAATTCCTACATCTTTTTTTTTTCAATTCCTATATCGGTAACCTTCATTATTTAATTCCCTATTGTTCATATCACTTATATGCTCTTAACTCGCAAATTTATTTATCTTTTCTTTTTTTGAATTATAGCCTTTAATATTAGAAAATAGCCTTTACAAAAACTCTGAAAAAACAAGACAGGATAAGTTCCTGGGCAAAGTAGTAAAATTAAGATTAAATCCTACAAAAACTCAGGCGATTGTTATTGGTTCTAATTCCCACCTCAAATACCCTTCCTACTTTAACACAAAATTATCATCTTATCACTTATATTCTTTCAGCTACTTTGCTTAAAACCTAAAAACTACTGTCCAACTATAATCCTAGTATACTTACATCACCTAAATTCCATAAAGGTCGATAAGGACCCTTTTGTCATTCCATCATTACCACCATTTTTTTTCACAACCTAAAATTACACTTCTACTATCCTTCTCTGTTGGATTCCAGTTTGAGAATGACTTTATATAGTGGCCAGGTAGCCTCCCAATGGTAGGAATGTGATCTATATAGTATATCTATTTAGTATAATCTACATATATTATAGAAGAGAGAAACTTCTTCTTCTCCCTCAACCTTTTTATTGTTCCTTTCGCTCCTACACATCATACCTGTTGGTCTGACTGACACCTGGCTGACTGGCTAGACCTGCATATCATCGATTCCCAGCATAAACTCTTGTCCTGCCCTCAATTACCCATTCCTTTCCTTTCTTCTCATGATCTCATCCGATTATCATACAATATCAAAACTCCCACGTTTCTTCCTAAAACCATAACTTTCCGCAACCTTGACACCATCCCCCGTGATAAAATCCTACCTGACCTAGAAATCCTAAATTGGAATATCTATTCCTGCACCTCTATTGATCACCATCACTATCACCTCTATAGTAGACATCCTCACTTCTAATATTATCCATATCCTTGACATGCATGCTCCTATTAAAACCTCTACCTTTTATTGCCAACCTGCTCCTTGGATATGTCAAGAAATTCGTGACAAGACATGAGGCAGCCGGAGCCTATAGATGCGTCTGACGAACTCGACTAACAGATGATTATCAAGCATACAGATTACTCCGTAACTTCACACAAACAACGATCAGAAAAGAAATCAAACTTCTACCACAAAACCCTCTCTTCTGTTCCTGATTCTAAATCAATATGGTTAAGCCTCCATAAACTCTTTCATTGTAAATCCTCTTCCTCATTGGTCTACCCGGTTTCACTTGATGAATTAAATTCCTACTTTATATCTTCCTCCACCAGCAACAGCTCACCCTCTTCTTACCAGTTTTCCTTGTCCCCCTAATTTAACAGTGATAATTTCTATTTCTCCTACATTTCACCAACCAACCTTACTTCCTCTATAATGAAATCCCATACAAACCCATCGGATTTGATGGAATACCTGTCAAACTGTTAAAATTATGCCTTCCCGAAGTCCTCCCTGTCCTTTTCATCTATAATTTTTCCCTCCAGAACTCAGTTTTTCCAACTGCTTGGAAAAAAGCATTAGTCAGACCTACTAATAAAATCCCCAATCCTACTTCTCCTAAAGACTACCGTCCAATCTCCATTCTCTTTAACCTTTCTAAACCTCAGGAAAGAATAGCTCATTCCCAAATCTCCAAATTCCTTGAAAACTCAAAACTACTCAATCCTCTCCAATCTGGTTTTGTCCTGGCATCTCCACATGATCCGCTCTAATAAATATAACCAATGACTTACATACTGCAATGGACGAAAAAATGCTGTGTTAATACTTCTCGACTTTTCCAAAGCCTCTTGACTCCTTAGACCACTCTATACTCTACACTGAATTAAAATCTCTATCCTTCTCCAACAGCTCCATTATTTGGTTTCAGTCTTTCCTTTCTGATCGGACTCAAGCAGTTACCAATCCAAACCAACACCTATCTTCCATACTTACGCTATCCTCTGGAGTGGCCCAGGGTTCGAGCATTTCCCCTCTCCTTTTTAATTCCTATATAAATTATCTTCCCAAATCCACCTACCACTGTTCACACCATCTATACGTTTATGACTCCCAAATCTATTTATCCTTTCACCCTTCTAAACTATTAGTCGCGTTCGAAAATATTCAGGCAGATCTAGATAGGATCAGTGGCTGGGCAAGTATGAATAATTTAAAGATTAACACGATGAAAACTCAGGCCATTATTATAGGTTCCAGTTCTCTTCTTAAATCCATCTTCTTCCTTTCTCCTTTAGTCATAAGCGATCATCCCATCATATTCAGCTCCTCCATTAAAAACCTAGGAATCACCATTGACGAAAACATCTTCTGAAAACCCAATATCGTCCTCATCTCCCGAAAGTCAATAAGTACCCTTAAGTTATTTCATCGCTCCCACAAGCTCCTTGTATCCTGTCTTATTTTCCCCCACTTGGACTGTGGTTGTGAGTGTATGCTGTATGGTTTATGGAGGCATCCCAATGGTACTCGAGGATAGATTGAAGTTACTTATGAACTCCTGCTTAAGATTTGTCTTCGGTACTTCGAGGCGGTTTCATGTCTCCCACCTTTACGAGTTAATGTGGCTCTTCATTTCTTCCTGCTGACAATATTTCCTTGGCTCTTTCCTACTCTTAACGATCAACAGCCGACTTCCTTCCTACATCTAGTTTCCTACAGTTCAAACCCGTGGTCCACTCCCAGAAAACAAGATCCCGTGTTTCCGACTTTTATATCCCTTCCCATAGAACTAAGACATTTGAATATTCCTTTATTGCCCAATCCACTGCCTTCTAGAATTCCCTGCAATCTGATATCCGCCATGCCTCTTTCTTGTCCTCATTCAAATATCATCTCTACCAATTCCTTCTCACATCCCAAAATGAGGTTGTAAAATGAAATAAATATTATGAATCAAATTTCGACTGAGGTAAATGGTTGTTGAAATTGTTTGAGTTTTAATTTTAAGAATCAACCCATAGTGCTTATAACATTTTGCTTTTTATTTCTCCTGATTTCTGTTTTTCTGTTCATTTCAATAATGTTAGTTTTTTTCAGAATGGTTTTCCTTTTTTTATTTGTTTTAATATATTTTCACTGAAGGTATTGTATACATTCTTTAATTTTGATTAATATAATTATTGGCCAGATGTTTTTCTTTTTTGTTCATAATTGTTATTCTTAAAGGATCTCGTCCCAGAATAAAATTTATTTTATTACATCTATATCTACGTATAATTATATGATGTTTTTCAAATACATCGAAATAGTAATTCCATACACTCATATTTATTGAAACGTATGTATCAATATTTTTAATGTATCAGACCTCAATATTTTTAATTTTATAAGAATAAGGATGTAAATATCCAAAAATAAAGTATTTTTTTGTTATCAAATAGAAAAATATCAATAAAAAAAAAAAAATTATATTTTGGGTCTACATGTTATTATTGTTTAAAAGAAAGGAAAAAGCGATAAACACTGAATTTAAGTCTTAGATTTTTATTTAATAGAAAAAATTAAATATTTATATATTTTTTATTAAAAAAAAGTATCAACTTATTAAAATGTGTTAATAAATAAAACAAAAACTTATTTCTAGGCACTAAAATCAAACACTAGAAATATAAAAAATCAATTCAATAACAAAAAAATAAAAACAATGGAAGTAAATAAATATTAATGAATTACTAAGAATCTATAAAGACACTAATATTTATAATTAAAGACTTATTACTAAGAAATAATTTTGTTTAACATAGAAAAAATTAGGAAAATAAAAATTAAATTAATAATGATTGAAACCTATAAAAAGAATATACATCTATCATTATAAACGAAAACAATAAAAAATTATTAAACTTATTATTATGATATACAAATTAATCAAATCAATATTTTTCAGAGATATTTAAAATAGTCTTTTACGTTTTTTAAAACCAATTTAAAATTTTACGTTATAACCAGTGAAGCTGGCTTTCCTTATAGACATTTTTAATTTTTTTGGGGAAAAATATCGGTTCGGAATATTTAAATTTTAATATCGATATAAAAGATATTGGTAAAAATATTGATGCATCAATATTTTTCCAATATCTCTATCCTAGGGTTATGATTACTAAAGACCATCAATAAAATTAATTATAAAGAGCTTTGTTGGGTTTATCTTCGGCACCTCAGGAAACTCACCTTTACATCAAGTTAATGTGGCTTTCTCCGTAATAATATTTCTATGGATCTTACATTTAGCAAAACATCTAAACCCCTCTTATATCTATCTACTACATATCTACTATATCCTTCAATCAGAGTCCACAATCCGATCAATGATTAAATGCGGAATCAGCAGCTAGAAAATGACAGCTCAAGCTAACTGTGATAAAATAAATACAATCCAAAACTAGGGGTCCAGGGCAATTACTAGAGCTATTAAATCTACTTCAATCAACAAAATAGAAACAGCCAGAGGAGCATCTTATATGGAAAATAGAATGGATGTAAAGCTTAATTTTAAATCAAAAGCATCACAAAACATACACTAAAAAACAGGATTCATGAAAGAAACCCAAAAAGGATTAAAGGCATCAGCCCAGTTTACAAAGTAATATATCAAGTCTTAAAACTCAAACTCATCTCTTGAACAAATTAAAATAACAGACAGCTCACCTCAGTGAGATTCTCTTACTAAACCTCATATTGTCTTAACAGATACTAAAAGAAAGGAGCTCTGACTCTCAATTACTGATATCTATCCATGAAGATGCTGAATGAGAGGTACCAATTGTCATGAAAATCTTCTTCCTCTTAGTATATACCACTCTTTCTTCTTATGTTTATCCAAATATCTCTTTATCGAACAGCTTCTCACAATCAAAACAAGCACTTGCTAATTGGAGACTTTAAAGATACAGAATTTTTATTTCAGCTTAATCAATACCAAAAATAAAACAATGTTTTAGATGTTATGATTTTACAAACTTTAACATTGGATTATGTTTTTTTTACTTTCACTTACCTATTCTCTCTCTTCTTATATTTTTTTTTCAATAAGTCAGTCTATTTTATTTGAATAGAAAAGTTTCTGTTATTTTTTTAAAAATTAATTACTTGATAATATTTATAAAGGTTTTTTTTTTATTTACACTAATATACCTTTTTACCAGAATCAATGTTTAGTCTTGTATGGAATTACGTAAGTACCAAAATAAATAGCAAAACAATAAATAAATATTTATATCACATAAATGGTGCCCTCCAGATATACCTAAACAGAAAACATTTAAAAAAAAATTATCAGAACAGAGTTAGTACAATGTTCAAACTGTTTTCAGTGTGCAGTATCTATTTTTTAAGGGATTTTTAGGCTGATAAATAAACCACATAAAACATAATTCTGCAATTAAATTAAAAAGAGAAAAATCACCCCTAAAATTTGAGTACATTGGAAAAGAAATATTACAACAATAATATGACACTTGCCAATTAAATGATTAACATAACTTAATTTTATTTAACTATAAATATTATTAAATATAAACATAAAAATAAGTGAAACAGAACTTCTCACAAGAATTCTTCTCATTCAGCTGGTGCTTGGATTACAATAAGAACAAATTCTTTGTCTAAAACAAAATAATACATCTCCAATTATTAAAAAAGATACAACACATACATAATGTGTCCTAGGGGGATATGTCAGTAATTGTGGGAGGTATAGTTTACCAAAAATGTTGTTCATACCCGCCAGCCACACATTCATAAAGGAATCAATAGTTGAAATTTGATTCTTTAGATGCTTTTTCAAGAAAGCTATATATCCCCCTCCCTCCACACTAAATATTCATTGTTTTCAAACAAACTGAACATTTTTTAACTTTTGTTACCATTTAGGAAAAATATCCTATAAAGAAACAACCAATTTATTAGAAAATATTCCTTCATCAGGCTATTTTAGCAGTCAAAGCCAAAATTTATAAAATAAAGAAGTGAAAATTAATAATTTTCAGAAATACTCGGTAGAATTTCAAACATTCGATATTGAGGATTTCAAAAAAGTTAATTAATTTCATCAGCTTTCCAATGCTATATCCAAGCTTGTGAAGTTAATATAATATTTAAGATACATATATTGAGATTGGTATATAAACAAATATGAGATACCTACAGTACCTATTAATTTTTTGTCCTAGTTTTGCTACTTTGTAGGTATGATTTGATGGTGGGTCACTTAGTCCAGTCAATGAATGCTCGAAAAGGAGGTATTAAAAGAAATGTCGGGGACACAATTTTTGACTTTGGGAGATTGTTTGGACTAGTAAGGAGGTAAACATACTAAAAGTCCCCACTCCTAGGTGGTGAGGAGCCAGATGTGAGGTAGTGCCTAGAAGGTCACTTTTTATGGGTTTTCACTTATATCAAGAAAACTATCCATCACATCGACAAAGATGTTCTATACAAAATTAAAGCTGATAAAATTTTCAATATGATTGATTATATACTTTTTTTGCTACCTTGCTTAGTTTTCAATATATACGTCCTCAACTATGGCCATTTTTGAAAAAAAATGTTTGCCCCGTGTTTATTGCTGTTTTTTGGATTTTCGCTTATATCAGTAAAACTATCCATTGCATCGACAAAGACATTCTATAAGAAATATCAAACCTAGATAAATATTTTATTAAGAACAAACCATTATTAATCAATCGAATACTTAATAGTTGACCGTTGTATTACTAAGTAATGAGATGGTCCAGGATGGTGGTCATAAATAGATTAAATAGTGGCAAAACTATTTTATTAAAAGCCAACGTTCCGACCCAACTTTGCATGTCTTCTTCAGGGCTAGAATGGACAAGATATAGAGAAAAATATATACAAAAAAAGATAAACAAAAAACATATAGAGAATTGTGGGAGTTGCATAATATTTAGACAAAGAATTATAAACAATGTGAATAAACTTATTAAAATTATAAACAGTAAGTACATTAAAATATAAACAAAGTAAGCTAAGTAACAAGATCCTAAACTGAAGTAAAGAGATGGTAACAATTACATGATAACAATCGGAGTTATCCCGCATTCGGATCAGCAACATGATTTCCAACCAGCTTCAAGACCCTCCATCACGTTTGTCCCCTTTCTTCCCCTGTTTTTCAAGGATTTATCCTTAAAAAGCTCATTCCTCAAAACAAACGACCACCTCATTATTACTAAGGCTGATAAGGGAAATTAGACTGTTATTATGGACAAGACCGAATACTCATACAAAGTGCAACAATTACTTTCAGAGCTATCAACTTACGTACCCTCCCCTCGTGACCCAAGCCAAACACTAGTGTTAAAATTCAACCAACACATTAAAAACCTACTTGAGACCAAACAAATTAACCAACCCACTTACTACAATCTCATATCCTACAATTCCTTAGCACCCCACTTATATGGAGTCCCAAAAATTCACAAACCTGGTAACCCCCTATCTTCTCCAATATAAATGTCCCGTCAGCTAAACTCAGCAAATTCCTTTTAACCTCTCCAAAAACTCAGCCACTATAATCCTTATGACATTAATAATTCATTTCATCTCAAAGAAGAGATGTCTTTTCTCCATATTCCTGACAACATTATCCTTGTTTCCCTAGACACTGAAAGCTTATTATTTTATTAAAGCCCTCCACATTGTACAGAAAAACTGAACAATCATCGAACGTCACACCACCCTCAACCTCTCCTCATATCTTGAACTTTGTTGCAGATCTGGATACCTCAATTTTCAAGAAAAATTCATTAACAGATTTCAGGCCTAGCCATGGGAAATTCTTGAGCACCAGATATTTCCAATATTGTTCTTAATGACCTTCTAGACTCTGTTATCCCTTCATTCCATCAAGACATCATTTTCATTAAAAAATATGTAGATGACCTCCTCTTTGTTCTTAACCCTGACAGCATTCTTCAAATTCTTTCCTCATTCAACTCTTGCCACCCCCGTCTTCGTTTCACTATAGAGAAAGAAGTTAAAAATTCACTCCCCTTCTTAAACCTCCTAATAATAAAAAACACTGATGGCTATACTTCAACTGACTGGTATACTAAACCCACGTACTCAAGCAGACTACTTAACTTTTATTCTTAACACCCATGCCATCAAAAAATCAATACCACCAAAAACATTATTCACCAATTTCTCTCTTTACCTGATTAACATTATCACCAAGCCAACACTCAACATGTAAAAAATATACTCCTTTCCAATGATTCCCCTCTCAACATTATACTTAAACTTTTAAACAGTTATACAACCAAAAAGAGTACAACCCTCCCTTCTCTGAGCTCCCCACAATCACCTACCACTCCTTTCACATACAAATCTCTCTCCTATATTCCTATTCTTTCGATGATATAAAAGAATTCCTTAAATCGACTATAACCAACTTACATCTTGGCCTCAAGTCCCATAACAAACTTTCTTCCCTTTTCACCAACTTGAAGGATCCCATACTTTTACAACACTGACCCCCTCACCATTTCCCAACCAGGTCAGCAAATTTCCTAATTTTATTTACTTATTTTTTTTCTTTTCTCTACATCTCTTTATGTCCATTATTTCATATTATATCCTTTTTCCTTTCCTTCCAATCTCTCCAGTATCAGTAGGAGTATATTCACAATTGCATATATTATATTATATATTATAATACAACCATTGTTACCATCTATTTACTTCAGTTTAGGATCTTGTAACTTAGCTTACTATGTTTATATTTTAATGTACTAACTGTTTATAATTTTAATAAGTTTATTCACATTGTTTATAATTTTTTGTCTTATTATAATGTAACTTCCACAATTCTCTATATCTATTTGTATCTTGTCTGTTCTAGCCTTGGAGAAGACCTGCAAAATCGGGTCGAAACATTGGCTTTTAATAAAATAGTTTTGCCACTATTTAGTCTATTTACGACCGCCACCCCTGACCATCTCATTCCTTCATTATTAATTAAATATTCATGTTTAATGTGTTCATAATATTATGGGATATCAAATATAAATACTGTGATAAAATATAAACGTGAAAATCAGAGCCTTATTTTAGAGAAGTATCTGAAAGTTGAAATTTTTACCGAAAGAGAGTTAAATCTTATTTGTTGATTTTTCTTCAAAATTTTGTCTAGTCCTCCAACAGAGATGACTAAAAAAGTCATGATTTTTTTTCCAATTTTTACAACTGCAATATCTCTGCTGGGTACCAGATAGAAATTTGTATACATAAAAAAATATTTTTATATTGGTATACTGAAAAAAATTAAGTTGTTTTATTAGGGTTAAAGAACTATCAAAGATAACTTTTAGGGGGAGGCGGAGGGAGGGTTTGCATGTTTAACATTTCAATGGAGCTTTAATAATTTTATCAAATTTTAAGGTTTTAATCTTTTTACATCTCCTCCAAAACATTCAATATTTTAACCAATAAATCACGGTTTTTGTAACTTCATATTTTTGTGGTATATCTTTATTTTTTACATTTTTTATTAAGTCGAATTTTTGTTTACATTTAATGTTTTAATGGCTCCTTTTTTTGTTTATGAGCCATGTTCACAATAAGAACAAACAAATGAAAATGAAAATTTCAAAATATGTTAGGAAGCATATTCAGAGAATCTCACTATCATTTGATTTATCTTACCAAGACATAGTCTTTGAGAAAATTCCACTATATTCTAAAATTAAACCTAGGAAATATGAAAATATTATAGGTCTCAGTCTTAATTTACTTGTGGCTCAATGTAATTCTTGTTATGGGTCCATCAAAAATTATATTGAGCAGTCATTATATTATGTTCTGCCTGTTGTCATCTTAATGTTGCAGCCTATGAGTCTATAAATAAGAAATTAAGAGCCTACATTTTCAAATCATTGTTTTAATAGCTAATGGTGGAGCCTTGCTATGGAAGTTTCATTAAATTCTATTCATTGATCTCAAGATACAATTATCCAAGTTTCTCAGATTGACAGTCTTAAATCACTGTTTGACGTTAAAGAATCGTAGATTAGGTGAATAACAAGATGCCTTCATATAAGAATATTATTGGCAAATATGTTATTAATTTGATTGAGTTTTAGGAATTTTTTTCAATTTAAATCTAACCACAAATTTAGTTATTATTTCTATGATTTACTTGTACAAATATGAAGTTAACTAATACTAATTAATTTGACTGTGAGATATGTATATTTTTTAATATATATGGAGATTGATTTAAAAAAAATAATTATATATTTCCGTCTAAACAGTAAGTTATTAAAGAAGGACAATTATTAATAGAAAATTATACATTAATTACCAAATATAATTGAAGTACCAAGTGGATGAAGGCGATAAGTGACATTATAAGACAAATTGAATAATTGTTAAAAATAAAGACAAATATTTTCAACAATTCTTCCTTCCATTGTATAAAATTCATTATTTGGTTCATAACATTGTTGATATAGGTTCCAATAGATAGGCGATTTGAATTATGTTTTCTCAGAACTCAAAAAATGTTTTACACTAAATATTCAAATATAACCCATACATGACTTAAGACATACGTAACATACTACTTCTATGCTCGAGACCATTACATAATGAAACTTTTTATTTTTACTTAATTTAAATGAAAGTCAAATTATTGATTAGTAAATTAATTTTAGCTATGCATACCAGGGGCTATCATTATTTCATTTTTCTTTGAACGTAGTCGAAGAAAAGTTAAATCATTGGTTGGATCTAAGTCGCGGACAGCAGTCCTTGCCCTGTCACACAGCTGAGTTAGGAGAGCTGTATACTGAACAGTTGTAGTATTGTCCAATGTACTCTTTATTGGAACACCTAAAAGAAAAAAAGATAATGCTTTAAAGATGAACACCGAGTATTAAAAAACAGGACATTATTATTTTTATGTAACTAAGGTAATTGTAAGAAGGTTTCTATAATTTGATATTAATCCAGCATAAACTAAAGGTCTGTCATCCATTATTAGTTTGCTCTGTGACATGATAAATGTGAAGTGCTTGTTATAAAGTTTGTAAATATGGCATTTTAAAATTTTATTTCACATTCTCTCTTCACACACTCTCTAGGCATAAATGAGCCTTTCAGATGACAGAATGACTAACTCCAATTTCAATATTATTTATTATTAATTTTAGTGATGTTTCTAGTGGCAAAATTTATACATTTATTCACAGTTCTATATTTCAACATTGCAACCACCTACTCTGGAACAACTTACTCACTATCTGTGTAGATATAACTTTTCCAACTAGAAATATCACTGAAATGACATTACTCAAACATGTTGAACTTGGAGTTAATCATTCTGTCAGCTGAAAGGCTCAGAGACTGAAGTTATGTGGTTTATAAAACTAGATTTTTATTGCCTACCGTCGGTATAATAAATAGACTTTTTGTATTGTAATTTTAATGGTTTGTAATCTGAAAGCTTTAAGTTTTACTTCCATCTAAAATGCACTTAAAAAATTTTATAATAGCCCAACATTGATAGAAAATAATTTATATTCAAAGTAGAGGGGTAAGTGAAAGTTGTGTGATGCTCGCAACAGATTTTTAATGGTGATAACACTGTATGTGTTTCATTTTTAATCACTCAATGTACTCTAGCATATTTCTCACTTTCTACAAATTATATATCAATTTTACCCACTCATCAGTTCAACAATAAGTATGTGTAATTATTTTAGTTTGCAAAACAGTAGATTTTTCAAGAACACTTTTATGCAATAATGCATTAATATAATGAATGCTATATAACTGTTCAGAAAATTAATGCAACAGAGGCAAAAATGGTTTATACATGCGCTAGATAGATTCGGTTATAAAAAATAACATCAGAGGTTAATGCATTCTAGCAGAGGTACAAAAAAAAAATCAGGTGTGTCCACCCACACGACTTTTCTACCTATTTCAGAAAAGTTTTTATATCTTTACATATGTCTATCAAGAAACAAAAAAAAATTGAATTATATTTATTTTCCTGACAATTGATCAAAGAAAAGATTAGAGTGTGATTTACTTGATAAACTAAAGCAATGTAAACCGGCTTAAGGTAAATCAGTGTAAAAATTTCAGTACCCTCTAATATTGCTGATCAAAAACTTTATGCCATAGCCTAATTTTGTCAAACAATAATTTCTGTTAAAAGTAGAGGTAATAGTGAAGCTTGTGTGATGAAGGGAACAGATTTCCTTACTTTCACTTAGTCATTAGTCATCATTCATCCCTTTCTGGCACTAGTTAGCGAGAAAATCTTGGTACAGAGAGACAGACAAATGGCTAAAAATGTGTTTTTTAGGTCTGTCAAAAACCGCATATCGGAAATTTGATCCGATCTCAATACTTTCCTTATCTAGTATAGGCAGGAAAGTAAAAATCACAAAACAATTTATCCTCCCATTTTCCTCAAAAATAAGTCCATTTAACTGAAGGATATGTAATTTTCATCTCATTTATCTTCATTTCTTTCTAATAATAAAAATAAATAACATTAAGAACTGAAATATACACAATAAAAGAGATTAATAAATAAATTCTTTCATGATAAAATAAAAATAATAAACAAAATCCATAAATTCTAGGTATTTCTAGTGAAATATGTATAAATAGAATAATTTTTTTAATAAAAAAGAGGAAATTATGACATCAAAGAAAAAAAAGAGTGCCTAAAAAATATATTATTTCATATTTTTTCTTAAAACGTAACAATGAATTATTACCTAACCTAATATTGATACTCCAATATTGAAGGAGGAAAAATCTATCATTAACTTTTAAACATCAAACAATAAATGTGAATAAAGTTAACCAAGTCAATCATAACCATTGATGTTATCGCAAGGCAGTATTTTGGTGTGATCTTGGTCAGTCCATCATTCAGCTGAGATAAAGTGAAACAATAACAACCATTATTATTATTATTAATTACTTATCAATAGTTTATTTAAATCATTAATTTTAAAAACACAATAACTATAACAAAAACGTTGATATACTCTGACAAACTAATTTAGAAGGCTAAAATTACTTACAACCATATTCCTTAAAAACGCAACTATTATATACCAATAGCTCAGTTTGAAAATAAAATATATGAGATAACTTAATAGCTACTAACCATCCCCAGTAATAACTATTGTCCCAACAACGCCTTTGTGAGCTTGAATCCTTTTCAACGTATCGTCCACTTCGGTTGCCTGATAAACAAATAAAATAATAAGTTACATAAAGAAAAATTAAAGAAAAACGACAAAAAAAATCTGCGAAAATACCATTGCTACGTTAGACAACTATACTGAAACCTACACTGATAACTAAACAAGATATGAGTCGTTCAAAGAGCAACGGATTCAAAAGAATGGAGTTAATCCATAGAGGTGTTAATAGTAAGGAGAGAGCAAAAAAGGATTCCAATTCGTCTGTCTCGGGTGAGACCAACTCTTACAATATACAGGATAGACTGTACGGCACAATAGTTAACCAAAAGCATTATGAATTTCAAGCAGAGTTTATGGATGTGGGTTCATCGATTTCAATGAAACTCTTTTTGAAATGAAATGAAATTAAAATATATTTTATTATTCTGGGATTGTTGTTCCTTTAGAACAAATTATAAGTACAGATTGAATTACTGTGTTGTCATAAATAAATTATATATTTACAGTTAATTAAAAATAAGTATATAGAAAAAGATGAAGAAAAGCACAAGAGAATTGCACATATAAATACAAGAAACTAAAATACCCGTAATAAACTGAAGTAGTCTCTGGGGATACTTAAATAGTTCTCTAAGGTATATTTCCTAATCAATCTGATTGAGAAACGACTAGGTGTTTAAAGAGGAGATGTTTAAAAGACTAAACTGATTAGGCGTGTCGAATATCAGCAGGGATAGAATTCTAGAGGGAGGCGGCTTGAATTGCAAAGGATTGGTCAAACGCAGCAGTTCGGTGAGGAGGAGGATAGAGGTCGGAAGTACGAGATCTAGTGGGACGGGATTGGATGGAGTATTTGAATTGTAAGCTGTGAAAAACATAGGAGGGTCGATGAGATTTAATGATCTGAACAGAAAGATGACTAGGAAGTATTGACGGCGATAGGATGGATAGAGCCACTTCAACTCGGTGTAATACTGGTTAATATGCGTATCTCTTGAGATTCCGAAAACAAATCGTAATGCACAATTCATTAGGCGTTTAAGTTTGAACTCGAAATCTCCCGAGAGTCCACCGTACACCATACAACCATAGTCGAAGGGGGGGGGGAAACAAGGGAGGAAACTAGGAGTTGACGGGACTTATATGGAATAAGATAACGTAGACAATTGAACTGTTTTAGGGTGGAGATAGTGCGACGGGAAATTTGGGAGATGTGCGTTTTCCAGAACAGGGTTTGATCAAAAGTAACACCTAGGTTATTAACAGTAGTGTGGAATAAGATATGTGAGTTGTTCAGGAGGAGATTGGGGATACTGGGAAGGATTTGAGGAGAGAGAGGGATCCGATCAAGATGGCTTTTGTCTTCTTGGCGTTCAGAGTGATCCTGTTGAGGTTTGAACAAGCACTTATTCTATTATTATCTTCTTGGAGTTCTAGAATGGCATCTGAGAAATCGGTCGGATTAAAGGAGAGGTAAATTTAAATGTCGTCGGCATACAGGTGGTATTGCCAGTGCAGGATAGAGGATGGGAAGTCTTTTATATAGATAAGGAAAAGGGTGGGGGATAAGAAGAGCCTTGTGGGCCGGCTCTGAACATAGGTTGAGATTTTGATAGGGGTTATTAGGAATTAAAACATACTGGGAGCGACCGGTAAGGAAGGATTGGAAGTAATTAAGGGGACTAGAAGAAAAGGAGATATTTTTAAGTTTGGTAAGGAGGATGTTGTGGTCTACTGAATGAAAAGCTTTGGAGAACTCAAGAAGAACAAGGATGGTTAGTTTCTGCTGATCTATGGCTGTGTGAAGGTCTTGAGAAATTTTGATTAGGGCAGATTGAGTAGAATAACCCGGCCTGAAACCGGACTGGTAGGGATTTAGGGATTATTGTCCCCTAAAAAATGGGATAGCTGGGATTGGACTAGTCGCTCTAAAGGTTTTGAGAGGTTTAAAAGAAGGGAAATCGGTCAGAAATCATTAAGAACTGAAGGGTTTGAGGTCTTCTTCGAGGGGCCCACTAGGGCTGTTTTCCAGGATGTAGGAAAGGTAGCATTTTGAAGAGAATAATTATATATAAGATAAAGGATTGGAAGAATGGATGGCAGTGCGGCTTTAATCAGTCTGACTGGGATGTTATCGGGACCGTAATCTTTGGTATGGGACTTCTTAATGGAGTTAAGAAGATCATGTGGGGTAATATGGGGAAAAAAGAAGTAATCAGTATTAAAAGAGGTAAACATAGGTGCCGTACTGGGCGTAGGAGATTTGGTAGCAAGAGAGTAGGAGACAAAGTGAGCGCTGAGGTTATCAGCAGAGACGGAATTGGACTGGGACTGAGGTGTATTACCAATGGTCAGTTTTCTAAGAATAGCCCTCGAAGCTATTAGGGGAGTTGGATAAGGAATGATGGTAGTAACGGGATTTGGCACAGGATTTTTGGTGATATTAGTTTAAAAAACTGGAGTCTACGGAGGTCGGTTCGAATCCAGCCTGGGCGGGTTGAAATTTATTTCATGGCGGACCTATGTACAGAGGGACGAAACATTGGATTTTTACCAAGTCATTCCATTTTAATGAGGAATATACTCTGTTACGGTCTTTAAATTTAAAAAATCGTTTCCGCAACAAACTTGCCGGATGCTCAGTGGAGACGGCAGGGTTCGCAAAAAAAAAATTAAAGTAATCAAGAGTCAATTATATATTAATAATTATCTAACAGGCGCCACGCTATTTAATTTGTTGAATTTGGAAAATAGTGAAAATCATAATAATAAATAAAATTAATTTAAAAAAAAAATTAGGACGCGGAGTGAGCTGAGCTACGAACTCGGAACCTATGGGTTTAAAAACATATGTTAATTAACCTCATAACCTATCGAACCTTCTTACTTGGTTAATAATGACTTTCCCTAATACCTCGAATAGGGTTTTACAGTTCCTTATTAAAAACCTGTTTAATAACTTAATATATATATATATATATATATATATATAATAAAAAAGAATATAATATATTCATAAAACGTGAAAACAAACTGAAGAAAAAGAAGAAAATAAAACTGGCTATTATTAATACTAATGATGAATTTACTTATTTCTATTGATTTAAATAACTGTTAAAGGAAATTAAAATTATGAACAAGAAATTAGATTTATAAGAAAACAAAGAAAACACAATTAACTTTAACTATCAAAGAAAAGATTACAAAATTATTATAGAACTAAACATTAACTTACGACTATACAATAAACCAATTACAAATATTTGGGGTAAAAAAAAATAAATAGAAAAAACTTATATGTACATATTTACAATATCCCACTAGTTGAACTTTGTCCGATTGGCACATTGGGTTATCTGAAGAAGCGGGAACTTATTCGAACTAGCGTCGCCAGGGTCTCCCCAGTTTATCTCCTCAAGCTGTGAAAATGTTCATTCACCAACTTGTAAAATCAAGCGGCACTCGTCGCTGATGATCACAGGTTCATTGATAGAAAAAGAAAATCCGGTGTACACCGTAAAACTAAAGTATTTCACACAACCAAATCTTAGCGTGCATCAACACTCGCGAGGTTCCGCCATCTCTCTCTCTAAACTGTCATTTGTTTTTCTTACCAATCAGCTGTTAGTTATTCCAATCCGAAATAAAATTAATACTTAAAACTAAGACTTATTATAAACTAGTACTTATTATTAAAACTAATAACAAATACTTAATTAACTAATACTTAATTTTATATTTAACCCTCTTCGAGTTAATAAAAAAAAACTAACAATTATTTTACGAATTAATTTTTTTTTGTATTTATTTTTCGTCACAACTCTATGTAATTTGTCGTACTGAATCAAATGGTTAAGTGCTTTTGGTAAAAGGAGGAATGTGTAATTTTTTTTATTATTTTTTTTTTCTAGACCTTTTCAAAACCTAAACCAATTTTAAATCAACCCAAGTCTAAATAAATAAAAAACAATGATAAACTTCAAACGAAAATTTCCTGTAACCGCAATATTTGTAAAAATGTGTATAAATAAAAATACTTCACTTATCTATTGAATACCTTATCTTATTCTTATATAGGCATATTTAGTCAAAATCCACCATTCCTTGGAAGAAGCTAAATATATACAGAAAATTGTGAACGAGTAGAAAATGATTGGCGAAACCAGGAGAGTCTTAAGGATAGAGTGCCTGAAGGATGAGAGAATAAAAGCAATTTCTGGAGAAAGATTAAATTAAATAAATGTAGAAGGAGCTACAGTTGAAGAGCGAAGGCGGAAAATAAGAACCGCTCTAATGGAGGTTGGGGGATCTTCCAAATTCCATTAGAGTTCTTGTATATAAACAGAAGCAAGAAAGAAACAAATGGTTTGATGAAGAATGCATTCGAGCCATTATGAAAAGGAATGACGCTAGAGCAAAGATGGTAACAAGACCGACTAAAGAAAATTTAACAATGAGAAGGAAAAGAGCAACAATAATAAGTCGAATCGAAAAGAGAGCATGGAAAACGAAAAAAATAAAAGATGCAAGAGTAATATGAAGCAAAAGAAACTAGAAAATTTGACAAAGGATTTCCAAGGACTGTTTTTAAACCGCCCCTAAATTATTTTAAAAATAAACGGGAAAACTTGCTGGGATCGCGAAAAGACTAAATACTAGATAGTTGGACGGAATATTTCTCAGAAGTATTAAACCAAGGAAGCATAGAATCGAATAATGAAAAACCACATAGAAATGGAGGAAACATGGGTAAGGAAGAAGAAATAACGTCGGAGAAGGAAAAATAACTATGGCTTTATAGAAAAATAAATCACTGGGAGTGATGTGTTAAAATTACATACTAATAATTAAATCAAGTATTTATTTTTGTTAAACTAGAGGTGAAGCTCAACTTATTCTCGAACAAACCTCAACTCAATTGATATGGACTAATAGCTTCTTAAACAAAGAAGTTTTTCTAATAGTGGGATGTCAGTAGCTCAATTGGAAGGGTATATAATTAGAACTTAGCAGTAGTTTAGTCGCACAAAAATCACTTTTAAATGGTTTTAACAAAGACAAAATCTATTTTTATTTGAACGTAACTTTGTCGAATTTTCTATTAGGCAATTATTAATTACCTAAATTAAATATTTTTTTTTTTGTTATCTCTTCCTATTCAACATAAAACGTGACTTTCTTAAAACACCCAGAACCTAATTT